ACTTCTGTTGCCTAAGAGCCACTTTCCACTTTTCCCTCCCCCAGGCAAAAGTTCTCCAAAAGGGCACGCTAAGGAGAGAACCCACAGTTAAATATTTGCACAATAATTTGCCACCCACCAGCTAATGGTCTTGTTGTACCTCTTCTGAGCCAGCTTTTCATGTTGGCAGCCTTTCAACCTGCTGAGGCCACCCAGGGTCAGGGGTATGTGTGGGCTTCTTAAGGTTGTTTCCCAGGGCACAGTGACAACTGCTGGATTTGGTGCAGGAGGCAGGTTAAGTAATAGGTCTGGTTACTTTCTAGAATGTTCAGTCACAAGGTAAGGAATTGAGTAGAGAAGTGATGGAGGGTGCAGACTAGGCTTGAATGAGAGAAGAAACCACATGATGAATAAAGTAGACAACAGAATACATTTTAAAAAAGAAAAATGTCAAGCTAAATAATACTTAAGAAAAGATTATGATTTAAGGAAGATGGCATTAAAATGGATGACTCTAAAGTGACAAAAATAGAAGAAAGAAGAACAGTGTGTTTGATTAGGAAACAAGGCTTTTGTAGAAGTTCCCCACAGCTGACTTTATGCTAGCCCCAGTCCATTTTGAATTACATGTGTTATATATATATTCTATACAGTAGCTTCGAAGGCACACTTTTAGTTTTGTTGACATATCTTTATGTGAAAAACAACAGAAAACTTAACAATTTGATTTTCTTCCTTAAGTCACATTCCTTGAGTCTAACCAAGCCTCACAAAGAGTAATGGGTGATAAATTCCAGTCTTTTCCAAGCCAGACTCTGAGTTGGTGGCAGTTTGGTTTCTATTAGAAACACTAAGAGAAATGAATTATTTTAGAATCATGGAAAAATGTGTGTTACAGACATAAAATATCCAAATTTGGAAAACAGTTAAAATAAAAAAAAAATTATTTTAACTATTCTATTGTTTTTCTCAATTGCTTAGAAAGCATAACTGAAAGTGTACCCACTGAATAGACCGTGGCCGCTGTCTTTCACGTTTCAGTCTCTCATGATTACAGTTAAAGTATACTAATCACCATGCTGAGTTCTTTTTTTTTTTAAAGGTCTGCTTCCCAGCTGGGTAATAATAAATATTAACCAGCATCAAAGTGGACTCATCAAAGACAGCAATTCCCGACACTGACTGCACACTGAAAGTGACTTGGTGGCTTTAAAACATACTGACACCTGTCTCCTCCCCCATATAATTCAGATTTAATTTGGTTGGGATGCAGTTTGGGCATCGAGAAGTTTCAAAACTTTCCAGGTGATTCTAATATACAGCAAAGGTCAAGAAACACTGAAAACTGCTACTGAAAAGTGTGGTCAACAGATCAGCAACGTTGCTCTTCACTGGGAGCTTGTTAGAAATGCAGTATTTCAGGCTCCACCTCAAGCTGATACATTTAGAATCTGAATTTTGCCAAGATTTCTATGTGGCTTATATGCACATTAAAGTCTGAGAATCACTGCTGTAAAGAATTCTTGTCTGTGATAATTTTTTCTTTCTCTGATGTTGGACAGTAGTTATATGATCAATAAAAGATGAAGAAAAATAGCTCAACTTTGCCTCTACAACTCAGGAAACAGACTTTCATCTCTATGACATTCTGCAGAATAATGAAAGGTGGATGGTATGAAGTGAGACTGTACATGCAGAGTTGCCAGAAAAAGTATGGGGATGCCTAATTAAATGTGAATTGCAGATAAATGATGATTTTTTTCCTCTTTTAGTAAAAGTGTATCACAAATATTGCATGGAACATCTGTATACTAAAAACAGTATTCATTGTTTATCTGAAATCCAAATGTAACCAGACATCCTGTATTTTTATCTGCTAAATCTGGTAACCCTCCTTATATTCCCAGGAGTGTGTTTCTGTTCTCTAGGCTCTCCAAGTAAAAAGGGGAAATGATACCATAAATGGCCAAGTGGCTAACTCCTGAGCTGTCTAGACTGATTGACTGTAGTGTTGTTTCTCATCCCACCCAGACAGCCAGGGCTCTGTGACTTCCTTAAGCCAAGGTGGTGACTCATCCAATGGGGAGAGTAATGGGAAATTTACTTGCTGACTCAGGACGACATAAACCTTGGCAAATTTTTCCTTAATCTAAACCAAAAGAAAATAAAATGTCCAAAGCAAATGTTAAATAAAATACAATGTAAAAACGCTTTAACTTGAGGCAGCAGGCAAAGGCAAGGGCTTATAATCACATGTTTTCTGTTAGTTGATTAAAAGACATTTTCATGGTTTGTTCCAGTACTAGGCTCAGAGGCTGGTATTTTTCTTAAGAAGTACTGCTATTTAACCAGCCTCAGAGGCCACTTTCCAAGAATACATGTTATTTATTTATTCTTTTTTTCTTTTCTTTTTTTTTTTTT